TATTTATTTATTTACCGCTCTTCAATTTGCCAGCCAGTCAAGCTTTCAAAGACTTCATGGACAAGAGAAGCCGTCACAAACTTTCAAATGCCTTTCAGCAGAGAATGTGCTTTCTCTCTTAGAGACAGCTCATTATTGTTATCTGTTGCAGCAAAGAAATGAAATATTGATGCGAAATAACCCTGGCATGGATTCCTTTCTATTGACCCAATGGAAATCTAAATGAATTGCTGCTGACCCTGGAAGCCTGTGGGCTGTCGGTTTGCTTTTAGGTGTGAATTCAGCATTGAAAGCTTGTTCGGCTGTAAGGAGAAAAGCATTTGTGTGTGACTCTTCACTTTATATCAGCGATTACATGGAAGGACGGAGCATTACGGAGGACAGAATGAAAGACGGCTATTGTTCAGAGGAAGAGACGAATCACTGGGAAGTAAAGTGGGTTTAACATGGTTAAAATAGCAAGACAATGTGTCTTTTAAAGGATAAATGGGATTATTTTGCAGAGTGAATGTTTGAAATTTTCACTCTTGTTAGTCCAAAACTATGTGTGCAAGATATTTACCACCATCACTACATGGCTATTATTTGCCATCATCATCATCATACAAGCATTTAAACGTTTGTTGTTTTATATAGTTGTTATATAAAGTTTTTAACCTTTTGTTGTTTCACATATGTTATATAAAGCTTCTACCCTTTTGTTGTTTTATAGTTTGCAAGTTGAACAACCTGCACTATGAGTTGTGAATGGGGTGAATGTAAGCTTTCTGATAATGATAATGATAGGTGATAAAGTTGATAAAGTATGATTATGGAATGCTTTCATTTTTACGTAAAACGCAGGCTAAGTGTCTGTTGAATTTCAATAATTCAGCAAACTGAGTCAATTATTCTGTTTATACCATGATTACCACACATCAAGATATTGTTCAGATGTTTTATTTCAGGACATCAGGTTTTCGTTGGTAAAACGCTCTTTGAACTAATTTCTTGCGCTTCTCATTCCATTGCTTATTCCATAACATAATGTTTGAGGTAGTAGCCAATGATTGTATGATTGTGTGTGCGAGAGAGAGAGAGAGAGAGAGAGAGAGAGAGAGAGAGAGAGAGAGATTGATTAAATGATTGATTAAGCTTGTGTGAATTACCAGAGTCTGTGCGGCTCTAACAGTGTTTGGAAACAGTGTCTCTTCTGACATTTAGCTGCAATGTTACTACCTTGCCACTGAAAAACATCATAGCTTTATTTTTATTTAACAAAAAAATTCAATCGCGGGGTAGTGGTACTGACAAGTTTCTCTGAGAGTGTGTGTTTGTATGTGTGTGAGTGCAGAGAGAGAGAGAGAGAGAGAGAGAGAGAGCAGGAGAAAGAAAGTGTGCTTTCCCTAGATAATAAAAGGTCATCTAGTGGAAAAAATATGGACATTTATATCCTATTGTTAGGCATATATGTTGGTATTGTTATTGTGTCTTGGTTCTTTTGCTTAAGACCTTTGAACTAATTATTAATTATGTGGTCAAAAGACCTTTCCAGCGTTTACTGGAAAATAATTGGACACCTTACATTCATCAACCAATCAGAATCAAGCATTCGACAGCCCTGTGGAATAGCTCTATGAGGGATCAGGGATCTGCTGTCATTTTTTAAGGAATTTTTTATTCCTTATTTTAATTTATTTTACCATAATATTCAAGTAAATCTGTGCAATATTTATTTAAATAGCACTGATTTAATCTTACCATCTGCTTCCCCCCAAAAAAGTCCAATCCAATCCAATATATATTAGGGCTGTCAAACGATTAATTGCTATTAATCGCATCCAAAATAAAAGTTTCTGTTTACATAATATATATGGGTGCACTGTGTATAATTATATATATATATATATAAAATTATATAAAAAAAAAACCAGCCCGTTCTCATCCTTTAACGTCATATAGAACGCTATATGCAAAAACGGCGCTATACTACGCACATGGCACCCTTTATCGTTAATATAACACGCGAACCCAAGACGTTATAAATCCTTTAGCGTGAATATGACACGCACACCCTACCCCACACCTAAACTTAGCCCTCACAGCACGTGTTATATTAACGATAACGGGTGCCATGTGCGTAGTATAGCGCCGTTTTGTCATATAGCGTTCTATATGACGTTAAAGGATGAGAATGCGTTGAAAAAAACACACACACATGCTTGTATATATTTAAGAAATATTTTCATGTATATACTGTATATAGATTTATATATAATTTATATTATTTTATTTATTTATATATATTTTCTTAAATATACATGCATGTATATATATATATATATATATATATAGGCCTACAAAATAATTATACACAGTGCACCCACATACAAACAGAAACTTTTATTTTGGTTGCGATTAATCGCGATTAATCGTTTCACAGCCGTAATATATATATATATATATATATATATATATATATATACAGTATATACACATACAAATATTATGAGAGATTAAAATAACAATTATGGAATGCCATTAACTAATCCGAATCAAGTATTCAGGAGAGTGGTATAATAATAAATATTGAGTATTCACTTGCTTGGTAAAAGTGTATTTTATCCCCTCTGTATATTCTTCTTTTAATTCTGGTACTAAACTTTAAAACAGGATTGTGAAGACCATGAAATGTGTAAATGTTAAGAAATCTTTCTTTCTACTGCTTTGTAAAATATTCTTCAGTAAGAAATGCAGCCATTGTGTTTCATCTCAAACAATTGTTTATTATTAATTATTATGGTACAAATTAATGTGACAGACTTGAAGCTGTTAAGAAATACACAAAGTGCAGCTTAACTGACCGAACAGATATTGCTCTATATAATACATACAGTTTTCAGTCTATAAAATTTAAAGCATCCTTAGCAGGTTAAACAGCTTTGGTTTCGAGGTCTTGAGAGTAATAACAACGTTAACGTTTCAAACTCGACTGTGTTTGTGTGTGTATGTGTTTGTGTGTGTGTGTTCATCAATAAATCTCAAAAGAATTTCCATCATCTTTTGAAAACAATTGAGTTGAACCAAAAAGTTTTCTTTGTTTCCCATTTATACAGGCCAATTCCAGGCAATCAAACTCAAAAATGTATCTTACATAGTGAAAGGGGATAAACAAACATAAACAATGCAGAAACTAAACAAGAAAAGAAAGAATGAAATCATGTCTGCTCTATACACGTGACCCTGGAAAGCACACCGTAAAGAAAAGCAGGTGAGAATCAATCTATGACGGTCATAAAAACTACTTACAAACATATACACGAGTCCATTATGGTTTGTGGTGAACCTTTGCAGAAAGGTATCGTCATGACATTGCTCACTACTTAGCAGGACAGTGCTGAGGTAATTTATGATATACTCCATTTAATCAATTTTCTTCAATCAGTTACATATTTCAAGATTGTCAACGACATTTCGCCATTTTTCTGTACAATGTGCATAAAACTATTGAGCTTTGGTCCAGCATTGAAAAGATGAGCAAAGGCAGAACGCAGATTTTCGTCTCTTGGTTTTAATTTTTGGTTCGTAAGCATGTATACCTTAAGACGTCCAGTCTCTGCAACCATACTAAGATGCCATGCTTCTGAATTCATGAAAATGAACGAGCTGGGAGAACGTCATATTATACAATATGAGTTGAGTTAATGTTATTAGACAGCTCTTTTAATGTGAGTCAAGATATCGGTTGCATATAGCTGCCAGAAGCCGGACAGTTTCTCTGGAACTATAATTATGGCAAATGTCTACACAATGTGATGTGTTGCATTTGAATAAATACCTCAAATAATGCCATTGATGATGGACAGATACAGACTGAATTAAATGGCAAAATTGTATAGGAAGAAATATCGGTAACGCTTCCTTTTACAGTACAGTACTTACAGGGTAATTACAGTGTACTTACCTAGAAAGTACTGGCTAATATAAGGTAAGTACATGGAACAGGGGTATGTTTAGGGTTAGTACTAGTTATTACCCAGTAATTATAGTTACTAAAATAAGTACATAGTATTTACATGGGTAACTGGACGGTAAAATGAAGCGTTACCGAATTATCAACGGTATCGTTACTAAGTAGTTTTTAGCAACTTTTGATAACTGTGTTTGCGTTAAATATATAAATGTCATACAGATAACCAATTTTAATTGAATTTTTTAATGTTGCAGGAAAAAAATATTAAAATTTATCTGTAAACGGACACCTTTTATTGTTTTTGTCTGTAAGTATGAAGAGATACAATATAAGAATTATACAACAAAAGAATCATAAAATTACTGTAAATGAAACCGGAAAATAGGCTGTAGGTTTGTATGATGGTGTATTTGGGACAATGAATTATTATTGTTTTCATATACATTAAAGGAACACTTCGACTTTTTTGGACTTAGCGTATTCACTGTATCCCCCAGAGTTAGATAAGTCCATACATACCTTTTTCATCTCCGTGCGTGCTGTAAATCTATCTGACGCACCCACCGCTAGCCTAGCTTAGCATAAAGTCTGTGTGTAAATGGCTACAGCTAGCATAATCCCAATAAGAGACAAAAAACGCAAACATTTTCCTATTTACATGTTGTGATTTGTATAGTCACAGAGTGTACAAATAACAAGGTAATATGAGACACAGATATCCTTTAACTGTATAAATATTGGGAACTATATTCTCAGAAGGCGAAGCACTGCTACAGTGCGTCTCAGGTGCTGCGGTTATCACTCCGCCCAAGTAGCCGTGCTGCCTTCTGAGAATATTGTTCCTAATATTTATATGACTGTGCCTCGTATGACCTTGTGATTTGTACACTCTGTGAGTAAACAAATCACAACATGTAAATAGGAAAAAGTTTGCGTTTTTTTGTCACTTATTATGATTAGTATGCTAGCTGTAGCCATTTACATCCAGTCTTTGTGCTAAGCTAGGCTAGTGGTGGGTGTGTCAGATAGAGTTACAGCACGCACAGAAATGAAAAAGGTATGTATGGACTTATCTAACTCTGGGGGATACAGTGAATACGCTAAAGACAAAAAAGTCGGAATGTTCCTTTAAGGTTTATACTCAGTAAAATGTTTGGCTTACATCAAAAATGAGCATTTTTACAGTCCTTTCTTCCATCTGAGCAAGTCTTTCTGACTGACACAATTGAGTTTTTGCCAAAAAAAAAAGCACCTTAAGCACCAAAAAAAAAAATGTAAAAGACAAAAGATAACTTGCATAACCCAAGTGAAATAAAGTAATTCATCTCATATATATATATAATTTTTTTTTTCAGTTGAGTGACAAAAAATAAAAACATCCAATCACATGAATAAAATGGTTTGAGAAGGGTTCAGGCCAAGGTATGACACAATGTCCTTGTTCTTTGGCTAGGAGGCTTTGGCAACACCGTAAAATAGCTTTAATCACAGCTGCAACGAATGTGGATATCTATGGTATGTTCACTGAGAATCTCTTTGCAAAATATTCCTCCCAAGTGCAGTCTTTTATGACGGATGCCTTAATGTTTATAAACAGAGTGAGATGACACGGTTGACGATGGCCTTCTATGGACAGCAGAAACGTGACAATAAACTTCTCAAAGATATTTTTTTGGATCTTGTGATGTCAATTTAGTGACAGAAATATTTACATAAAAACCCAAGAGATAAAATAACACAAAGATTCAAAGTCACATCGACCAACCCCATCACACAAATTATTTTCTTTCTTCTCCTTTTTTTTTTTTTTTTTTTTTTGCCATTTTCCCCCCGTAAAAATGTAAAAATGTAAAACACATTTACAATTAAAAAACCTCAGGAATCAGATGCAACAAACTTTGGTAAGTAGTTTCTTCACCATCCTTGATTTAAACATGATCCTTGTTCACACTGCTAATGAATCGGTACTTTAACTCTCTTTTTTCTTGACTTTTTTGGTTTTTGCTTTTTGTGATGATAACACTGACAATATTTCTTTTTGTCTTTGTCGACAGTTCATCCGCGTCGGATGCTAATCGTCCGGGTTTAAGTCCGCAACATCAGATGTTTCGCCATCGGTGCGTGTTCCGCCTCGTCGAGCTAAGGATGTTCTTCCATATTGTCGACCAGAGGGTCCATTGGCGCGATCGGCCCGAGCTCGGGCGGTTTCAGCCTCTTAATAGTGTTTTTCAACGCTTGCCTCTTATTGCAGAACCAGACGCGCACCACCTCGCGATCATAGTTCAGTTTCTCTGCGATTTCGGTCATCTCCTGACCGGAGGGGTGGGTATTCTTCTCGAAGTGGCTGTTGAGGATTTCCAGAGCCTGCGGCGTGAAAGAGGTCCGCCGCTTGCGCTTTTTGGAGGGCTCGCTGCCGATAAACTCGGTCAGGTTCTGCATACCGGAGCGATGGCGGGCTTCCGCCTCGGCCATCCAGCGCTCCAGCACGGGCTTAATCTTCTGGGCGCTTTTTGGGGTGATGTCCAACTTCTCGAACCTGGCAGGATATAAAAGGCCAGGGTTCAGTTTGCCTGTCAGACTGCTAGCTATAGTGTTCTCTTGGGCTTCCTGTGGTAGGAAAAAGTGGCTTCTCAGGATGGTGTGTCTGGGGGAGAATTGAGAGAGAACAAGCTTACTCAAGTGCCCAGACCGGGTGAGGGGTTTCCTGTCTGACCCAGTTGCTCAGAAGGGGTCTCTTGGTCCAAGCCGCCAATGGGACAGAGAGTTTCATGGCCTCTACTGCATTGCTTCGGCTGTTGCGTGCTGGGAAACCAATGGATCTAAGCCCAAAGAGCTAGTTTTTGCACTCCAGTACATCAAATGTTCCCTCATATGATGCCTTTGTTGACTCTCTGTACCCATGATGCATCGAACCAAGAGGACTCTTCCACGGGCCGGTCCAAATACAAACAAGAGCCTGACTGATATCATAAAGAATGAATTAATTTATTTGCCTTCTCTAGCTCCTCGGTACAATCGAAGCCACAGATGGCTTCACATATGATTAGGAATTCTCTTTTCTGTGAGAGTATTGTCAAGCATGCAATAAAAACATTAAAAGCATTATTAATTCACAAATGGTTTAAATTATTCACTCAAATGCACACACATTTGAATACACTCCTAAAACTTCTCCGTCTTCCTCAAGCAAGCCTGACGCTCATTTAATGTTTAATGCTAATACATTTTCACCTTCACTTTTGAATATGCCTGCAAGTTTAGGGTCTCCAGGGAGGTAAATCAGTCTAATATGGAGGTCTTACTTGGCAACTTTGCTTTCTGAACAAAAACTAAAAAATAATGAAAAATTTGTCACGGTTACCAGTTTTACACTTGTTTAAACTAAGCACTCAAAACATACATTTCACACAGCAGCCACTTGAGCTACAAGAAAGAAAAGAAAATACCTGGTAAAAGTTTAGTACGCTATGTGGCTCTTTATTTGGGCTCACTGTAAAAAATATTGTTGGTTTAACTTAAAAAAAAGTGAGTAACCTGGTTGCCTTAAAATTTTAAGTTGATTGAACTGGAAAAAGTGAGTTAAAACAATGAAGGAGATTGATTTAATCATCAGAAACTCAAAATAATAAGTTATCTCAACTAAATAAATTATTTAAGTTGATTTGACAAAAGAAAAAAAAATGTTGTGATAACAAATCTTGAATATATATATATATTTTTTACACTTGAATAGATATCATTTGGATAGATATATCGGTATACAAGCAGTTTACGTGTCTCTAAAGCAGTAAAAACTGGTGGTTCAAAAACTAAAAAAACGTTTCATTTTGCATTATTATTTAGAATTACATAATTGTATATATTATAATCATTGTTGTGGTGCGTCTCTATAGGATGTTCAATGTAAAACCCCTTGAAAAGCACTGATTCTTATCTATAGCCTGTATAAGTACAGTATATAGTTACAGAAGAACCATAAAAGAGCTTTTGTCTCCAAAGACTCTCAGATTTTTCAGGTGTGTCTTTAATGGGGAGATGTTTCAGTGAGTTCCCTGACCTGCGCTCCTATCCGACACATGGACATCTGTCAGGCAGACAGAGAAAAGCCCAGCTGAGGGAGGCGAGAGGGGTGAACTACTGCTCTCTGAAACAACACACAGTCTCTGTTGGTCCTGAACTCCTGGACAGGCTCCTGTGAGGAGGCCTTTGATGGAATCTTAACTGGCATTTGAAAAGACGCCTGAAGCGGGGGCAAAGGCCCTCGCTCTCCCAGGTCCTCAAACGAAAAGACGTTTTTTTTCCTTCAGAATGAAGATGAGTGACAGCACCCTGTTAAAGCACAACTGAGCAGGAAAAAGCCCAGGCATATTGAGATGCTGACTTATTTATAGTCATGTCTTATTTAATTTCTTAATTTTAGATCCTGTTCACTGCAGTTACACCAGAAATAAGTTAAATATTTCAGCTTCAGGTTGGAGAGAGTCAGCGGGGATAAAATAATTGTAATGCAGGATCAACAAAATCACTACTTTATCAAAACTGAGTGGGTTTTAGTAGTGACTACATTGTTTTACTTTTTTATTTTATTTTTAGAAAAAAAAAAGTGTGTGTGTGTGTGTGTGTGGGGGGGGGGGGGTGATTGTATTTGGTCAGTTATTTGTTAGTCTCAGCCTCAGACGTCACACCCACGGAACGTTGGCTAAACGTCTGATGCATATGGTACACTTAACTGGAAACACTTCAGGAATGTCGAAGTCGTCATCTGATTGGTTGAATTTTATCGGATTTCCGGGGGGCGTCAGTGTCGCGTTTATTTTCGGTCCGCCGGGAAACAAAACGCAGACGTGTGATTGCGGAGAAAATCGCCCGCGTTTGTGGGCAAACATGAAACAACAGACGCTGACATCGCAGCTGGCCGATTCAGTATTCATAGGGCGCACACTGGATTATAAGGCGCATAAGATACTGCAGAGTCAAACGTTTGACTGGGTTTGCGTTGTGCATCCACTAGATGTGCTAAAGGGAATGTAGCGAGTGCGCGGCGCCGGAGGTGAGGCGTTTATTTAGTAGGCGTGAGCGCGCTGGGGCGGGGACGTAACTTAATTCGCAGCCTGACTCATGTGAGTATTCAAGATGGACATAAGATGGACATGAGCGCGAGTTCGTGGGTGAATTTAATAACGCGGAGCGTTGTTAACGAGCGCCTCCAGTGATTGCTGACTGACTTGTTGCACGCCGGTCTGTTGTTGTGGGGACATTTCCACGCCCCGAAACGTGACGCTGAACGAAACGAACTGTAATTGGTTGTTTGACATGTCGGTCAAACGGCCTTATGGGCGGGCCTTGGCCAAAGAAAGCTGCTATGAATTCCAGACCTTCAGCCGTCAGTCTGAAGGTCTGGCTACGCGAGACTAGTTATTTGTTGACAATAATTCAAATCGTACATAACTTTCATAATTGTGTTAAGGTTTTGTGCTATTTTGAGATCTGACTTAAGCAATATTAGCAATATATAAAATATTAGCAATATAGTTTTCCATTTTAAAGTGTCACATGTTCCTTCAGAAATTATTCTAATATGCTGATTTGCTGCTCAAGTTTGTCATTATTGTCAATGTTAAAAACAGTTTTTGTGGAAGCTCTGCAACATTTTTTCAGGATTCTTTGATGAATAGAAAGTTCAAAAGAACAACATTTATTTGAAATATAAATCTTTTGTAACTTTATAAATGTCTTTACATTCATTTTCTTCTGTGTGGACCTCTGAGTGAGTTCACGTAGTGTAACAGCGCGGCGCTTCTGGGTTGTTCAGAATGTAGGCTCACTATTGGCCGACGCTGGTCATGTGTGTGATGCTGGCCAATAGTGATCCTACGTTCTGACAACCCAGAAGCACACGGAAGAAAATGAACAGTTGAATAAAGTTATTTTAGCTTTTTTGTTTGTTTGTTTGCTTTGCGCACAAAAAGTATTCTCGTAGGTTGATAAACTTAAGGTAGAGCCACTGTAGTCACTTGGACTATTTTAATGTTTTTTGAGGAGGACCCCATATACCTCCATTATATGACTGACGGACAAGAACGGTTTGACTCTAAAAATATCAAAATTGAAACTACTGCGGAAACAAAGACACCTACATCTCGAGGTAAGCTAAAACATTATTTATATACAAAATTATATACAAAACTAAATCAAAGTGACCTATCCCTTTAATCAAAAATATTTTAATTTGTGTTCCGAAGATGAACTAAAGTCTTACGGGGTTGGAACAACATGAGGGTGAGTAATAACTGACAGAATTTTCATTTTTCGGTGAATTAACTCTTTAATAAATTGAATTGGCTGTAATGGCAGTTACTTTTCAAGGATGTTTGAAATTAAATTTCAAAAGTTTGGGCAGGCTAATTAATTTAATGAATGTTCCGATTCTCTCCACTCTGATGTCTGGAAATGTTTTTTGCGGCAAATACAGAGTGAATCAAAAGGCATTGGGTAGGTAGGTGCGATTAAATATATATACAGTCATGTTAAGCAGCTCTTCTGCCCAATTTGTCGTGCAAATTATAGATGGCAGCTTTGCCGCCTGAGACATGAATCATTGATGTGAATCCAGTGTTTCGGTGTGGATTAATGTTGTAAATCCACACAGCTTAAAAGTGGAAAAGCGATTCCCATCTCGCAATTATGTGATGATATGACATCTTATAAGCGTCTGTGTGCAATGGTGCAAGCAAAAGAGAAAAGGCTGCGAACCATGCTGTATAAAATCTAATTTGTATGGTGTATTTAACTGATTTAAATAAACGAGAGAGCAAATGATTTTATTAATATGATTTAAATTTTATTGCATTGTTAATATGTTGTTTTCAATAAACTGAGTATGTCAAACGTGTATTTTATGATTTCATTCCACTGATGTCAAATGCTTCACATCAGTCATAAGGCATCTGGATTCTCCGGGCTTTAATAATGACCCCTGCCTCTGATCAGTTTGACGATGCACCTTTTTGATTGTTCAGACGAACCAATAATGCTTTTTTTTCCGCTGTGAACTATGAGATCGGACAAGATAGAGACATCTGTCAGGCCGAGTTTGACTGAGCAAAGACTACAAGAGCCCCAAGAGCTCACACACTCACAAGCGAAAGCACGTTCACCTCTTTCCCCTCTTGTCTCTGCTGATGTTAACTAAACTAAAGCATGTGAAGTCTGCCTTTAAAGCCAAAAACACTCTGCACACTGTCATGTCCAATGTCATACAAATGAACAAATAATGAAAAAAACAAAATCCCCCTTCCTTTCTGACGGGATGAAAGGACGCATATAGAGAAAAACATCACATCACCTGTTTATTTTGGAAACTAATGGCTTTTAATGTATGCTATAAATATCTAAATAATGCATGCGGCTAAATATTTCATGCAGGATTTTTAAGACTTTCTGCACTAGTTTGAAGCTTCATAAGGAATTCCCGCACTCTACCCCCACCGAGCAATTTCAGGTTTTATCGGTCGCTCGTTGCTGATATGATGAAATTTTAACAAGCGTGCGACGGCGGCATGTCAGATAAACACAAGTGTCTTATCAGACCTATAAGCATTCAAATGCACATGGAGACATTGTGCGGTAAGATCAGAGTTCAAGTGGTAATTAATGTGTCTTTATTATCGAGAGAATCATTCATATTGCTCTCATATTCATATTTTCAACTTTTGTTGAATAGGGCACACTTTCAATTAGGGCTGCACGATTTGAGACAAAATGATAATCACGATTATTTTGATCATTGAGATCACGATTAATTATCACGATTATTTGTTGATTTTAACCAAAACTAATAGGCTAATTATAACTGATTTCACGTCCATATTGTGCTACATTCCTGCTAATGTACAACTATGTGCATAAAAAATAAAATAGGTCCTCTTATTCACCAAAATTCAGTGCATCTCTTTAAAGAATAAAGGAAAAAATAAAGACAACAATAAATAAAGTGTAGAAAAACTTCAACAGGGCACAATTTTACTTTTAATATTGTGTAAATATATTTTAGGAAGCAAAATATAAACTTGCATTGTACGGTACCTGCATATGGATGTGAATAAAACGCACAAAATATACAAGCAATAAAAAAATAAATATTCCATAATAGAATGTAACCAAATGAGAACATGTCAAGGCCGAACTATGCATAGAAGTTCGATTAATGGATGAAATTCAGAGTCATTGTTATTTGACGCTTAATAAATGTAAAATGTTGTGGTACAGACTGGATACAGGAAAAGTTTCGAAATCGCGATTCTTGACTTGGTATCAGTATCGAAACAATAATTTTGGTATCATGAAAACACTAGGTACAGTGTCAGTGATTAGTTGTGAAATATTACTGCATACATTTAATCTATTTAATCCTCTATATGAAAGTTGATCTTATTTCTCACACATTTTTGAGCACGCTCTTTGTCTCTTTCGTGTACTGTCCCTCGCGCGCAGACACACTCGGTCTCTCACGCGCACTTTCACTCGGTATCGCTTGCTCACATACTCGTTATTTCTCACGCATTTTTGAGCGCGCTCTTCGTCTCTTTTGTATACTGTCCCTCGCGCGCAGACACACTCGGTCTCTCACGTGCACTTTCACTCGGTATCGCTCGCGCACAGACATACTCGTTATCTCTCGCGCACTTTCGAGCGCGCTCTTCGTCTCTTTCGTGTAGCCTACTGTCGCTCGCGTTCAGACACACTCGGCCTCTCTCACGCACTGGGGCTCATGGAGGCACGTGATCAGACAGTGGTTTACGAAGCGCTAGATTGGCTTTGCAAAAAAAAAAAACTTTGAAATGGAGCGTTCTGTGAACGAATTTGATCAAAATCGTGATCGTGATTAAAATTCGATTAATCGTGCAGCCCTACTTTCAATTACTCTTCTAGAGTATTGCAGGTCCCATGTTTTTGTTGTGAGAATTATAATAAATGTTAGATATATTTATAACAATGTATTACACAATTTAAATAATACAAGGTAACACTTTATTTCAGTCCATTTTATACATTCTACTAACTATAAACTGTCAACTACCCGTAAGTAGAGTATTAGTAGACTGTCTGCTTAATATCTGTTAACACTTTAATTTGATGGTCCCCCATTTTACTGATTATAAGTAGCCTACCTTTACAACTACACGTCAAATTTTCTACTAACCCGAACCCTAACACCTAACCCTAACCTACTAGAGTCTTCTAATACTCTAATGAGAGTTACTTGAAATGTAATTGCAACGTTATAGTTCGTAGAAAGCAGTAGTTGCAATATAGGTTGTGTGCTTTATCCTTTCTTTTCTTAATAGCACAGGACTCAATAGTTCTGTGTGATAAGACATTATGTATAAATGTAATCTAAAATCTTTATAAATGTAATCTAACATCATGTATCCATGTGTTGGTACAAATTGTCCCCTGATGTATACAGTAACTACTGAACTCCTCAAAATGCACACACACACACACACACACACACAGACGCACAAAATAGCACTCTAATGATGATGTTAAATATTTCATTTACTCATACTACATAATGTCCTAGTTTAGTTTCCACTGTGGAACACCACGTTTTATTAAAAGTTATGTCAAGTTCCTTTCAGCTAAGCTAAATGTCATGTGAATACATGGCATTGGCCCTTAGAAATTATTAAGGGGTTTAAGTGCTTCTCGTAATACCAAAGCTGATGTATTTTACATTAGTAACTGAATCTTTTCATACAGACTGTGCAAAGAAGATTGGAGGCCGGCACAGACTGGAATAAAATGGATGCCTCTGACATATATTGCTCATCAGTTATGAATGTTTAACATCTCTCTTTAACATTTTAATTATTTGTGATGAAATATTATATAAATTGGGTACTACTTGTATGTAAACCCGGGTTTATTATTTTTGTATAGAAAGCTACTTTAGAATAATATAATAGTGTTTTATTTTAAATGTGCAAGTACATTTTGATCTGTTTGGTGACCTCCATACCTGCAGATGGCAGACTGGCTGTAGGCTGGTCCTTCAGTTGCACTGAGAGCCTGTCCCACCTGAGTTTGAGTCAGACCCAGAGACAGCCGGCGAATCTTAAACGCTTTGGCGAATTCTCGAATCTCCTCCAGGTTTACACCATCCACCTCACTGGGTGCAGTCTGCGGGTCTAGAAAACAGAAGAGAAATGAATGAAGCTGCAGCTCACATTTCACATGGATTCACACACTAAATGCAGATCTGAATATAAGTGTTATAATATGACTTTAACAAAAACTACTTCAAAATTTCTGCATATTTTTCAACTAATGACAGATATTTCCTGAGATATAACAGTCAGGCTGAATGCCAGTGAGAATAAAATAATGCTTGTATTAGGCACTTCCCAAATGAATGCTTATGTGAATAGCATTCTAAAATGCCTTTCTAAGAAATATTCATTTTTTATGCCAAGTTCTTTCTTTGCTTGGATATTTAGCTATGAAAACAGAGGTATGCAGAGGTTAGATTTCAATTTGATTCATTTAGCACTTCAGGCTTTATAGATTCAAGATTTTATTTTGCGCATTTTAGCTTAATAAAATGTGATTGGCCATTATACATCAATGCCAGGTGGTCTAGCATCCTGCTTACATAAGAAAAATTTGGTCGACTAAATAATTCATGGACGTCATTATGAATGAATTATTAAAAGAATCCATCAGCCATATTTAAAGTCAAAATCTATTGAACCAGCACCCTGTCACACCCCATATGCAAATTAGTTGTTGAAACCTGAACTTGCTCCCATGCAATATTGAAAATTCCTTCACCATGAAGCAGTTTTGTCTTTTTGACCACATAATAATGATTTATGACAAATGGCACATTGCCCTTTGCCATGTTATTATTCATTGCTGATCTATAAAAAAATAATTCTTTTATCATAATACTCAAAGACTGAAGATTTTGAGCCCAAAAGGGCAACCTTGACTCAATCATGAAATGTCTTAACAAAGCCCAGCATTGTGATTCGATATTGTTATCATAACATTCACTTCATTGAATAAAAAAAAAAAAAAAAGATTTGCCAAATGCAACGTCTACGATCCTTGAAAATCCGGGATGTATTCTATCTGAGCTGAATATGGTGGCTGTGGGGTCAGTCAGACCCCCCCTCTCCATTCAAAACATGTTCTGGGGAATTAATGTTAGCCAAGGACATCGCGACAAACACAATCTGGCATGGAGAGCTGCACCACGGCGCTAAACTGATGAAATGAAAAGAGAATGCTAAAGGTATTGTCTATGTTTTGAACAAAACAGGGGGGGGGGAATGAAAACACAACCAAAGTCCATTGGTTAGATCCACAGCAAGTTGATCAATGGAAACTTCCTGTTTATTGAATTTAAAAACTCCACTGCAGATGGTTTTAGGCCAATTGGCTTTGACAAATGAGAATTTATCTAAGTAAAACAGTTTTTAAAAGGGCCGCCGTGGCTCTGACAGGCTTGGAGGGAGTGATTTATATGTGGTGCTTCTGGAGGCCAAAGCCGTTCTAAACACAACCTTCCGTGCATTAGGTCTACGGTTTGGTCAGCTAGATGACCAAATCAACTAAAATCTGATAAAAAAATGAATGAAAAGGTAACATATTTTCATTAACACTTTCATAAAAACATTAAAAACAAAAGTGTCAAGTGTTTATGTGCAGTAAAAATGGATCAGCAAACATGCAGAGATACAGTGCGCACTCACTGTTGACTAGCTGGCCGACGCTGAGGGCCGAGGATGAGGATGATGATGTTGAGGAGGAGGAAGAGGCCTGGCGGAGAGGGCTCTGGCTGTGGGGCATGCGGAGCAGGTTTGGCTGAGACACGGGAGGAGCCTGTGAAGTCTGGCCGGTCTGTGGCAGCTGTGGAAAAACACACATGTTGAGTTGCACACACACTTACGAGAACACAATGTACACCACTGTTCAAAAGTCAGTGTGGTCAGTAAGATTAATAATTTTCTGCATCAAGGACATGTTACATTGATAGAAAGTGACAGTATTCTATTTCAAAAGTTTTCTATTTCAAATAAACGCTGTTCTTTTCAACTTTATTAGTCATCAAAGAATAATGGAGCTGAAAATTCTATTACGCCGTGACTGGAGTAAATACCATTCAATGTGATATTTTCAAATAGAAAAGTTAGTAAATTTTGATGATAATAATTCACAATCTTACTGTTTTTACCTCATGTTTGATCAAATAAATGCAGCCAATGCAGTCAAAAACATTTAAAAAAATCTTGGTACCATGGTAGATGTTCAAAAAACAAACAAACATAACATTAAAAGGAATAGTTAATTCAAGTTAAAGTCAATTGACAGCATTTGTGGCAAATTCATTTTGACATCCTTTGAAGCAAAACAAAAAAAAAAGAAGAAGCAAAACTGAGTGAGGCACTTATAATGAAAGTGGATGGGATATAAAAGTGATATTGATTTCACTTTATTTTGATGGTCCCTTTAACCCATTCTGTTGACGATAAGTAACGTTGACCCTACATGTCTACTAACTCTCATTAAAGTGTTAGAAGAGTATTAGTAGACTGTAACATGTCTGTTGGGGAGCATCACAATAAAGAGTTAAAAGAGTAGTTCACTTTAAAAAAAAACTTTTGCTGAAAATGTACTCACCCCCATGCCATCCAAGATGTCCATGTCTTTCTTTCTTCAGTCAAAAAGAAATGAAGGTTTTTGATGAAAACATTCCAGGATTTATATAATGTACTTTACTGGTAACCAAACGGTTCAAGGTCAAAAAAGACAGTTTCAGTGCAAACTCCAAACTGTTCAAAGGGCTTTAAACGATTCCAGACGATGAATAAGGGTTTTATCAACTGAAACGATCACTCATTTAAAAACAAAATAACAAAGTTTAAGTTTTATAAGCTCAAATGGTCGCCTTGGTCTTTTTTCGAATCATTTGGTTCATTAAAAAAAATAAATTAACGAAAAGATTCGTTCATTTTGATGAACGAGTTTGATCACGAACGTGCATCACAGAACAAAGCAAGGCGAGCATTTGAGCTTATAAAACTTTAAATGAGCGATCGTTTCGCTTGATAAGACCCTTATTCATCGTCTGGAATCATTTAAAGCCCTTTGAACAGTTTGCTGTTTGCACTGAAACTGTCTTTTGGACCTTGAACCATTTGGTTCCCATTGAAGTGCATTATATGGAGAAAAATCCTGGAATGTTTTCATCAAAAACCTTCATTTCTTTTCGACTGAAGAAAGAAAGACATGGACATCTTGGATGACATGGGGGTGAGTAAATTATCAGCAAAAGTTTTTTTAAAAGTGAACAACTCCTTTAACAGATATTAAGACAGTCTATAACACCCTAATGAGAGTTAGTTGACATGTAGTTGCAAAGTTACTTATATCTCAACAGAATGTTCTAAAGAGACCGTCAAAATAAAGTGTTACGAATTTTTTTTTTTTTAAATAAAAACATTCATTAATCTCTTCTTTGCATTTTTAATGCTGTTACTTTCACTGCTTCCGAAATCACATACTGAGTAGGTAATACATTTAATTTTGAACTTACTTTGTGAAAAACTGTTCTATATAGTATGTTTATGGGTAGTATGAATGGCATTTGGACAATCTACATGTTGTTACTGTCACGTGACCTATCAGTGTCACTTGCGCCGCTTCACGTCCATTCATAAATCATCTCCCGTGGCCTCATGGGATAGTAAAGGGCCCATCGAATGAGCACTTGAGAATCTTGGAGGAAGTAGTAGGTCATCTGGGTACTTTTCGCCTACTGTTTTTCAAATATGTATTATATGTCCTTTAAATGTTTATTAAAATGATTTTGATACTGATATTTTCAATATTTAAAATCACACTAATATAAAACATAGGGCACTATTTTAACGATCTGAAACGCAAGTATCAGTATTGTGGGCGGGTCTTGGGTGCTGTTGCTATTTAACCGGCGGGATAAATGACTCTTGCGCTCAACACAACTCTAAAAGGGGTTGGTCTGAAGTAGCTTTATTATTCATAGGTGTGGTTTGGGTGTAACAGGAAACGAACCAATAAGAGCGTCGTATCACATTCCTTTTAAGAGCGTGATGAACGAGGTGCGCTTGTTCCATGGCGCAAATCTATTATAACAGCGCATTTACCAGGCGCGCTTCACAATAAGTTGAAGCCGAGGAGATCGATGTTCTCGTCAGGGCCGGAAAAAAAAAGAGAAGTGACATTGGGGATGGGACAAACCCACCCAAATTAGCTTTGTTTAAATATGCATATATCCATTTGGGTAAATGTGTAAGCTTTATGCCTATTTTTCCCATCGTCATGGACACAACAATGATTTCCCTTGTGTTTAAATAGTTTTCCTTATGATAATTTATCATTTGCAAAAAGTAAACTGCATCTGTGTAGATGAGAGAATCATCTACAGTGCTTAAAATAGCATCTGAATGTACGTACGCGCAATGGACCACTAACTTTAGACTAGGTTTTTTCTGGTCATTGGCGCAATTGTTTTCTGGACCTGCAAAATAGCACCAGGGATTGTTTGCCGCCGAAACACGCCTCCTTTTTTGCGCCAACCCGCCCAGGGAGCGCAAGTCCATTCCCTAGTTTACCGATGAACGTCTGTGGAGGGAAAAGCCCGCTTTGCGCGGGTGCAAAATAGGAATGATAAATGCGTCAGTGTATAAAGTAGGGCTGTCAGTTAAACGCATTATTAACGGCGTTAACGCAAACCCATTCTAACGGCGTCATTTTTTTTATCGCGCGATTAACGGTCTTTTTGTCATTGCAAACTTTGTCGTTTTTCTTACATACTATTGCAACAGGACGTGGCATGCGCGGCGCTGCACTATGAAACCCATTCATTTCAATGGCTTGCGCCATGCGAGGACGTTGTTGCTTCGTCGACCAAAGCTCAAGCGGATCTAGCTAGACCAGAAACAAATCAACAGACACAACACCGCACACACTCGTTTGGGCTTGCGAGACGGCCAAATAGTTGGTTAAAGTTACGTTTTGAGTGGATGACGAGTGCGAGATGCCGAAATGGATGCCAATAAGATTCTGAATGGAAAGTTTACTTTTAAAAAGTTGCCAAATGGTCCTATTGACAAGACCAAAGTGATCTGTGTGTTTTGTCATTGTGAACTGAGCTATCATCATCGCAGCACGTCCAGTCTGAAATACCACTTGATGATGGCCAAGCACACACACACACACAGCTGATGTTTATTGATGGTCAGTATTACATTGAGAGATTATTTGCTCCAAGCGAGAATGTTAGTGTGAAATTGAACAAAGTATATGGCAAAGCTGTTTTCAATAAAAACAATTTACCATGTTGATAAGAGCATTATAATGAGAAAAAAATAATGGGACAAAAAGAAATCAAGTGACATTTAGAATAGATAAAAATGTGCGATTAATTGCGATTAATCACAAGTTAACTATGACATTAATGCGATTAATCGCGATTAAATATTTGAATCGTTTGACAGCACTAGTATAAAGTAATTTGCACCGGGTGCAAGATAGGGCCCATATAAGTCTTGTGGCTATTCTATTGAAACAATGAGTACTTTAACATTTAAAGATTGGCCCAATTTAGTTTTTCTTTTGTAAATAGCTAATATAATAGTAAATATATGTATAATTTATACAATTATTATTATTATTATTTTATCAAGTGCTGTTGATTGAAACAGTAATCTTTAATTTTAAGATGGTTCCCTTTTTAAAAAATAAATAAATAAATAATTTAGTGGCGTTTTGTTTCTTCTTCTTTGTAGGTTCTTCTTCCTAAGGTTTATTTAGAACAGCATCACAACTTTTAACATAAAATCTGAACATGAAACCACAGAGAATAAAATAAAGAGGCTATTTGGATTTTAAGAGATAAAAGATTTTTGTCCTGTGGTTGTTTACTGGGTAAAAGTGTTGAGTCTGTTTATTAGAACGAGCAAATCTAGACTCGTCTGCTTGTTTATTAGAGATGAGAGATGCGGACCGGTGGAGATGCTGGAGGTTGCGTTCACTCCCCGTGCAATTTCTCATTCAACACGGCTGTCAGATACTTTCAAGTACACAAAAGAAACAACAGCGTCTGGCTATTCAGCACCGAAACCTTAACACGAAAAGGAAAACACGCACATTTACAGAGCCCAGAAATCAAAATTATGTGGCTACAATATGAGTCATTATTATGGGCAATGTGGCATGACTGCGGCACCATACATTTTCATGTTTTATGCACCATCGAGCGCCTCTTGTAGATGGCGCTTCTCCACTCTTCAAGAAACAAGCGTCTCATCTGTCTAAAAGTGGGTTGGCTTCTCTCTGCTGTTCTCTTGCACTATTAATTCTCCTCTGTGTGTTTGTGCGTGAGTGTGTTTTTCTTTGGATGCTGAAAGATGTCAGTAGTGTTGCACACACTGTCAGAACTGTTGACAGGTCTGTGAGAATTACCGAGCTTCGGTGGATCTCTCTGCCGCCACCGTGTTTGACAGCCATAAATTATCGCTGCATGAAAATGTTCGGGAGTCAATTTGAAACGCAGACAGACCCATAAACATTATTACAAATGCATTACCGCGTTTACGTCCGTGATCAAAGTTTCCAGTAAATATGACACAGAGTTGCTCCAACAGAAATGAGGTTGACCTATAGATGCTTTTATAGCCGACCGCTGTAGATTACAGGGTGGGACCGGCCGGGATAATATGCGTGTCTCTATAGTCTCTTTTGTTTTGCACTGTTGTTAGGCTCTTTAACGGTGTATTCTTACTACCTTCTCGATTATTATTTGATATAGGAGTTTGATCATTGTTATTTGAGGATTATTGTTATGTGCAAGTTGTATTGGGCACATGTTTTGGGCTATATTATGCTGTATATTATATGTTATTACATGATTATTAGGACATATTTCCTGGTATTTTGCTACGGCATATTAAGCTTCACATAATTTCACATCACAGCAGTTTTTGAAATCATTGTTTTAAACAGTCATTACGTACCTGCTGTCCAGGTTTAATGGGTGACAGTGTGATTCCCTGGGTGTTGATCACTGGCAGGATCTGGTTGCCAATCACAGTGGCTATAATCTGACCCTGTGCATTGGTCAGCAGCTGTGGTGTGATTGGCTGGACCTGCAGGGAGGGAGTGCCACCCCCAGATTGGCTGGAAGGTCCTACAGAGTTTGGCATCAGAGGGATCGTACCGATGATCTATAAAAATCGCAAGAAAAGAGAAATACAATCCAGGTTAAACAATTCACTCAGTGATCCACCATATATAATCTATTCAAGCCCGTTCTCATCCTTTGGTGTTATATAGGTGACGCCATATGACATTTTGTTGTCTATTCTGCTATCTTTGAATAATCAAACACAGCAAATAATTAAGTCATTTGTTTGTCATGATTTGATCGTTTCCGTTTAGAAACAATGTTTATGATGCAGTTGTTGTTAGATTTTATTGGTGCTTTCAAATACTTATAGCTTGGTGAACAGCTTTGGAGATTTGATGTTTCCTTATTCAAGCTGTACTTGCATGACTGAAATAGCCACGAGAGGCATTACAAAGATGGCCGCTGAGTGAAATGACTTGCCTCAAAGGGTCTTTGGTCATTACTCCGGTCTTCAGTGTCACATGATCCTTCAGAAATCAGTCTAATTTGCTGATCCGAGGCTCAAGAAACATTTATTATTATGTTGAAAACATTTGCAGTCTTGCTGAATTTAGTACGCACCAAGAAAAAAAGTGATGGAAAATTTTTTTGTTTCCATTTCTTATACTCTTATGTCGCTAGTAACCACACTCAATGTATTTTTTTTTCCAACACATCCCATAATTTTTAAAATATTGGCCTCTACCAAATAGTTAAGATGTCACTTAATGGTAATAAAAGGTACCGGAATTCATACACATACTTTGCCATACTTTTTCATAGCCCATGATCAAAACCCTTTCTAGTCTTGACAAAACACATTGTCAGAAAGGTCTCAAGGTTCCATATTTTGTAACAGAAGTGATATTTGGACAGAAATTTATTAATTTGATACAGCATACAAGGCATACAATTAAATTCAATGGAATTTATGTCATTTTTGGTAACAAAATCTCATGAGAACTTTTTGTGATGTCAACTTCAAATTTGGAACACAACTTGGTTAGATATCCGGCTTTGATTTTATAGAAATTTTATAGGAAAAAAATATTTTGTAAAATATATATTTTATATAAAAGAAAAAATATTTTGTACAGTATATTTGATTTAATGTAACTTTTTCATATTTTTTTTTAAGTGCTTTTACTTCAGCAATAATCTGTGCTTTCTTTTTTGAGTGTTTTCTTTAAAACAAGACTAAACTTAAATCTTTATTCCAAAGCATACTTGAATTACAACCAAGTTTTAATAGGGCATTGTAATGTCCGTTCTCAAAAAGGGGGGTGACAGTTAACCATTATGTGCCAAATCATCATGTTTTTGAAAAAAAAATAAAAAATATATTTAAGTTTTTCCATAGCAGCAAGTAACAGAATTTTGTAAAGTTAGGGCTCTCACAGTATAATATGTAAAAAAAAAAAAAAAAAAAAAAAATGCTTAGCTTGCAAAATTTCACCAAAAACAGTTCACATGGCTGGGGTGATTTATTTGTTTCTGACATCCATGTTAGAAGAAGTGTTGTGACAAGTGCTATTGATTGACACTGTGAAATCTAGTGGATTTTTTGGCATAATATACCTCAACCAGATATTAGATATGGCTCAATCAGTTTGAGTCAGCGCAGTCTCATCCCTCACCCCCTGACGTCTTGGGACGTCTTTTGACCATACGTCAACATCCGCCATTTTAGGGTACCCTTTAATGTCGGTTAGATGACGTTATCGGATCCTAACCCTACCCCAGACCTAAACCTACCCCGTCACCTAACCGGCGTTAAAAGTAAAGCGTCAGTTGTGTGACGGCCCGGGATCGTTATGTAACCGACGTTTAAGGGTACCCTAAAAAGGCAGATGTTGACGTATGTTTAAAAGACGTCCCAAGACGTCAGTTATATGACTTATTGGGATGAGACTGTGTTATTTGAGTTACTCCTCTCAATAAAATATACTGTAGTGACTCAAAATGTGCTCAAACGTTTGGTTAAGAAGTCAGTTGAAGGTTTAAAAAAAATCAGTAACACTTTACAAGGCTTGTTACTTAACATTAGTTAACTACATTAACAAACCAATAATGAACTGCACGTATAAAGCATGTATTAATCTTTGTTAATGTTAATTTCAACATTTACTAATACTTTATTTGTTAACATTAGCTAATACACTGTGAACTGACATAACTAACGTTAACAAATATGAACAAATAGACTAACAAATGGATTGCTCATGATTAGTTCATGTTAGTTAATACTAGGGCCGTGCAAAAGTTAATTGCGATTAATCGCATCCAAAATAAAAGTCTGTTTTACATAATATATTTGAGTGTGCTGTATATAATTATTTTGTATATATAAATACCTATGCATGCATGTATATATTTAAGAATTATTTGTGCTTAAATTCTGTATATATATATAAATACATAATCTATATTATATATATATAAATATTTTATATAGGAATAACACATTTTCTTAAATATATACATGCATGTGTGTGTATTTATATATACAAAATAATTATATACAGCACACACAAATATACTATGTAAACACAGACTTTTATTTTGGATGCGATTAATCGCAATTAACTTTTGCACAGCCCTAGTTAATACATTAACTAATGTTAACTAATGAACCTTATTGTAAAGTGTTACCAAAAAATGTTACAGATTGATTGATACTCGAGCATATTAATTTATGTTTACACAAAAATAGTCATAATATAGTACAGAGTATTAAAGGAGATGGACATGACAAAAATGTGTAGTCACACTCATAATCTTTGTACCTGACAAAACAACAAAAACATCAAATTAGAGCACTTCACACACTCCGAGGAGCTCATCAGTGTCAGGAGTATCAAAGCCCTCAGATTTTACAGGATCGAGGGCTACTTAGGACTGGGCGGAGAAAATAGACTGTATAACCTTTTTATTTTTTGAGTGAGGCTTGAAAGACATACACACACTCATACATTACCACTTGCACTGAACCACAAACCAGGCTGAACGTACATAGTCTACACACAGACACAAGTATGTGCACATGAAAGCCCCCCACACAAAATGTGCTCTCTGCTCCTCTCTAAAGGTCAGGCTCTGAGTACCTTTATGTGTGCTGGTGCACACCACTGACTGTATTATCTATCATAAGACCAGAGGAAAACCGTGTGTGTGTGAGTGTGTGTGTGTGTGTGTGTGTGTGTAAAATGCAGAGAAGGGCCGAGTTAATAACGTAGCCTCTCAACCACTCGTCCCCTAATAAAACACACACACACACACCCCTTTATAATTCTGGTCCTATAAGGGACGCCCTCCTCCCACAATCCTTTTCACTGGTCTTCTGCACCCCCTTTCTCCAGTTGTCACAGATCAAAGGCCGTAACCCTTTGTAGCTGCAGTGTTTTACCTCTCAAGGCCACGGCTTCAATGAGCCATGTAGAACAACAGCGCTGGAGAAAAGGACTCAACGCCTCACAACGCCGACACACAACAAGGGTTTATGTCAGTAGAACTGCAAGACTTAAAGCCTCTTTCATCCAGAGCACCACAACTATACTCATGAAATGCATTAATGCAAGACATCGAAATGCTTGAGTCAAGTAAGAGTATAATAATAATAATAATAAAAACATTTGCATGTAATAATAATCATAATACACTACACTTTATCTAATCAAAAAAATTGTGGCAACAGATTACAAGCAGTATTATTCATTCAATTTAACAATAGAATTGAGGAATAATTAATCAAACTAATTCCTTAAAAGTTAACCATTTAAAATGAGTAAAAAAAAAAAAAAAGTACATTTTTTCTGCTTGTTAACATCAGGTGTTTTCAATTTTGGCAGTTTAAAATAAAGAGTTCTTAATTAATATTTGATGTCTGTCTGTTATTCAGATATTTTTGTTGAATTTTTTGGTGTAAACTTTACTCATTTTAAATGGTTAACTTTTAAGGAATAATTTGATTACTCAATTCTAATTTGTTAATATTGCTTGTAATCTGCTGCCACAATTTTATTGATTATAGATAAAGCCTATTCATGTTTACAGTGTATTACTCACCATGAGATCAAAACACTTTATACTACCGTTCAAATGTTATAGGGTCTGTGAGATTTTGTTTTTGAAAGAAGTTGTTCAACAAAGCTGCATTTATTTTTTTTAATCAAAAATACTGTAAAAGCAGCGCACTGTAAAAATGAATATGCTTTATCTAATCAATATCATTGTGGTAACAGAATACAGATTACAAGCAATATTATTAATTAAATTGAACAAATTAGAATTGGGTAACAATTAATCAAATATTCCTTAAAAGTTAACAATTTAAAATGAGTAAAGTTTACACCAAAAAACATAACAAAAATATACAGACGTCAAAGATTAATAACTCATAATTTTATATTGCCAACATTGAAGACACGTGATGTTAACAAGCAGAATCACTGAAGGAGAAAACCGTCATTTTAAAACAAACCTGAAACAAACACTGATCACCATAATGGTGACTTCAATTTATGGTTTTTTTTTTTTGGTTGTTGTTGTAAGTTTTACTCATTTTAAATGGTTAACTTTTAAGGAATTAATTTGATTAATTATTACTCAATTCCAATTTTTTCAATTTAATTCATAATATTGCTTGTAATCTGTTGCCACAATTTTTTTGATTAGATAAAGCATATTCATTTTTACAGTGTAATATTGTAAAATATTTGTACAATTTAAAATAACTGTTATGTTTTAATTACTGTGATTGGCAAAGCTGGGTTTTCATCATCACATGATGAAATTATCCTTCAGAAATCATTCTAATATGCTGATTTGGTGAAGAGATATTTCCTATTATTTAATTTCAATATGTTGAAAATAGTTGCTACTTTTTTGGAACCTGTGACCCACTTCTTTTTAGGATACTTTGACGAATATAAATTTTCAAATGGAAATGGATATTCAGTCAGGAAATAAAATGTCCTAGTCAAGGCTTGACATTTTTTAGCCATTTTTAATGGATTAAATTAGCATACAGTCAGTTTTATCCGCCTTTTTCGTTCCTTG